GATTCACTAAGAGATGATAAAATCCAAGAGAATAATAATTGATCTTTCCTTTTTTAGTTGATGTATGAGGGATTATAATAACCCGACCTTCTTCATTTTTAGTGTACTACTCTGGCCTTCTTGTTGAGCCAACAATGAAGCTTTCCAACACATATCCATATATTATAACTAGCACCTGTTGTCTCATATGAAATAGTGTCATTCAGAGAGCTTAATTGTGATAAATTGGCTTTGTGGCTGGATAATGTTTATTGTGTTTGAAGAGGTCAAGGCGACGATATTCATTTTGACAAGAGAGAACAAAACAAAACAAAAGGAGAAGGTCATTTAGGCCGAGATATTAACTTGGGTCTCTGATACCATGTTGAACTCTCATGTGACAGTATTCATTGTTGCAAAAAATGAAAATCATAGCAAACTTTTTGATATTCTTTGTTTTTTTTTATGGAACAGGAGATGGCTGCATCAGTGGATATCAATCTGCTTTCATTCAAGGCCGGCAGTTACTTGATAATGTCATTATAGCTCAAGAGGCATTTCATTTTCTCAATAGACATGCTTCTGGGAAACACTATTTTATGGCACTCAAGTTTGATTTAATGAAAGCCTTTGACAGAATTGAATGGATGAGCATCAAAAAGATCATGATTAAGATGGGCTTTCATTTTGATTTTGTTAAACTGATTATGGCTTGCATCTCTTCTACTTCCATTGCCTTCAAAGTTAATGGTGCTATTAGTGGCTTTGTTAAACCTTCTAGAGGCATAAGACAAGGGAATCCACTATCCCCTTATCTCTTTATTATTGTGGCTGAACTCCTCTCAGCTTTGGTTCAGAATGCTATTGACTCTGGACTTCTTCATGGACTGAAACTTTCCCAATCAGGGCCTCAAATCTCCCATCTTTTATTTGCTGATGATTCCCTGTTTTTCTGTAAGGCTGGAAGTGACCAAGCTTGTGTGCTGCTGGACATTATGAACAGATATAAACTCTTTACTGGTCAAACAGTTAACATGCAAAAATCTGGCATTTTTTCAGTAGAAATACACCATCCACTCTCAGGGAGAATATTTGCTCAACCTTACATGGTATTCAGTCTCATAGATCTACAAAGTATTTGGGTTTGCCCCTGGGCATTGGCAAATCTAAAAAGGATACTTTTGCATATTTGATTGAATCCACTCAGAATAAACTCCAAGGCTGGAAATCCAAACTTCTATCTTCTGCTGGCAAGGCTGTTATGCTTCAATCTGTTTTGCAGGCACTGCCAATTTTCACTATGTCCTGCTTTAAGTTGCCGGTTGCTATTAGCTCAGCTCTGTCAAGCTTATGTGCCCAATTCTGGTGGAAAAACAGCTCAACTGAGAATAAGGGGGTTCACTGGAAAAGCTGGTCAAAAGTCACAGTTCCCAAGCAGAATGGAGGGATGGGGTTCATTGACATCAAATTGTTCAATACAGCTCTAATTTGCAAACAGCTGTGGAGAATTACTTCTCAACCTGATTTGCTGGTGAGTAAGGTTCTGAAAGAGAGGTATTTTCCTAACTCTTCCATATTTCATGCTGCAAAAACTCAGAAAGGTTCTTGGCTTTGGAACTGTTGGCTTGAAGCCCTTCCTTTATTTTCTCAATGGCTGAAAGTGGAGATTAGAAATGGTGCTAATACCAGAATTGA